GATCCCAGGAACAACATCAGAGCTCTCTGTCCAGAAGAGTGCAGGGCTAGGAACAGCTCAGCTCCTGCGCAGAACCCTCCAACTTCCAGGCCTCTGATAGAGGGCCGGAGATTGAGGAAGAATATACCACTCATAAGGGTGAGAGGGGATTTTTTTTATATATATATGCATTTTTACATAGGGCAGGCTTGAGCTATCTTGACCCCATCCCAGTGCATGATGTTATTGGATGCACTCTGATTTCCTGCTGGGTCTACTGTAGTGGTAATAACACTTGCTTTGTAAATAGCACATTTCAGATATCAAAAAGATTCCATGTAAAATCCATACTTCTTGCAACACTAGATAGAACTGGGGTTGAAATAGTGGCCAGGTTTCCAAATCAAGCTAATACATAGTTTATTTTGCCTTGGTTTGTTAGGTAAGCCACTGTGTCTGAGCTTATGCCTTGCATTCAGCCATAAACAATGGTTTACAGACCACAGTGGCTGGGTTTATATAATGTTCCAAAGCAAGACCAGAGTAACCACATGGTTGGCTTAAGTGTGTCAGGTCATCCCAGGCAGGTTTTGCTTGCATTACTACTTGTTGCTTATAAACTGTTTCAGAAATCCTTGGATTAAAAGGTGGCATATAAATCACCAATATAAATATATATATATATGAATTGCTCCTTGCTAAGTTTTCTTATCATAGTTTTTTTTTTAAATAAAGCATTTTAAAGAAAGAATGTAGACAGAGAGAGGTAAAAGACATGCAAAAAGAATAAAAGGGTAAAGTACAAATAGTAAGGTATAAATAAAGATGTGGTTTAAATGCCATGGCATCTTACCACAGTTTTTAGCTTTCTTACTGTTGGCATCTGGATAGCACTGAGACCTTGAAATTGGGAATAGGACAGGTAGGGTGGTGTAGCAGATAGAACACTGAGATGCGGGATGAGAAGGAACCCACGTTCATTTCCAGCTACTGTTCATTTGCTGCTTCCTTCACTAGATGTTTTCAAGATAGAATTGGGCAATGGTAGCCTGAAATCTATGGAGGACGAATGACAAATGTATGCAAAGTACTTTCCCCAATGAGAGACTCTTCAGCTTTATTAGGTGACAACTTCCATCTTAAACCAGCATGGTAAAAGGCTGGAGATTGTAAACATTATACCTCAGCATGGCTAGAGAACAGGAGAGTAAGTTGGGGAGTCCTGGTAGATACCAGGGATCTTCAGATAGTTCTGAGAAGAGGAGATCTAACTCCATAACAAATCTCTTCTCCCAAAGGAGCTGAGTAATTGCTGGAGGTACTGAGACCCAAGGAAAATGCCTACCATAGCTTCCTCTTGCTACTGCATGCAAGGAGAAATCATCTGGATGCACTGCTCCTTTCCTCCTACACATGTTGCTTGGCTGCCCACAGAACCAGTGTTTGCTCAGAGCTGAGCAGAATACTGGCTTCCCACCCTTTTCTTTCCTCTTTCAATCCCAGTGTGCAAGTCTCTTTCTCTCTCCATCGGCTTCCTGTTTTTGTGGGTTGCTCTTTGCAGCTTCCGCAATCTCTTAATTGCGTTGGAGGGGCAGTTTATTCATTGATTGTCCCAGGTGGGTCAGTGGGAAGAAAGGCTTTGGGGACAAAGTGGGTTGTTGCTGTTGGCTGAAAATTGCCTCCCTGTTTAGAAAATCAGGCTGTCTTGATCCTGACAGGGGACCCCACTGGTTGTCATTGGTATTTGTGTGTCTTTAAGGGGGCAGCTGTCCATGAGGTTATGGCGTTTGGGTTTTCTGGTAGAAGTCTTGAAATGTTGGGGACCAACTAACTCAGACTTGAAGGTTCTGATCAATAATCTTTCCCCCTGCTCCTAACAATGGTTGCACCCCAGTTTTAGCTCAGGGCCCTTTGCTGCTGCCACGAATGATAGAAATCCAAAGGCATTTTGCGTACTTTTTTTACTTGTAGGTAGCTTTTTGCCTCATGAGAAAGTTGGATCAAAGTGATGTTGCTTTTTGGCTACAAGAAGCTGTTTCTCTTGAATTATTTTTATTTGGAAATTCATGATCAGTTCTGATATCTTCCCTCAACCTAGAACATGCTTTCTTGAACTAAGGGCCAATTAACCCAAGGCCAGCTGAGTCAGATCTGGTTGGTCCTCTGATGGGAGATCTCAGAGATGTATTCTAGACTGGGAAGTCAAAAACACCCCAGAAAGTGGGTGTGGCCAAACCACTTCTGGGTTTTGGCCATGAGGGGGTTTTGACCTCCACGTGCTTAGCTGTGAAGCTCAGTCTGGTTAAGGTTTCACTTTCTAAACCTTCAAATAGTCATGGTGATGCGTAAATTCCCACCTTGACTGTCTGTGTCAAGGAAGCCATCCTGACCTCCATCTTTTAAGGTTCTGCTCCCAAGCTCCCTCTAAACTGAAAATTGGTGAATTTCACCAATACTGAAAATTCCTACAATTTCAAAGGCATGCTGTAGTTAAAAATGCAAGGAAAACCCCATCACCTTCCCCTCCCCCCCCAAAAATTGGTGAACCAGGAAATTCAGGTTGGTCCCAGTCACTCGATATCATGAGCCATCAAAAGAATGTTAATTTTTTATCACTATTGAAACTCTTTTGTTTGTACGTCACACTAAGCCATGCTTGCTTCAGTTATGGGTTTTGTTTTTACTAAATCGTAGTTGTCTGTGTTCTCTTATAATGTACTAAGCCATAAACCCCATCTTACAATGATTGGGTTTGCAGAACATGCTTTTTAAAAATGACACTGTGGGTTAGTGCAGTGCATCTCTTGTCTGTGTTATGTCGCTGTCAAAGCAGCACACCTAAGTGGCATCTGCCAGGTGTTGGGGGGCCCCTGAAGTTCCTCAAATTACCAGCCAGCATGGAGATTCTGGGGGATGGGTTCCCACCACATTTGGAGGGCATTAAGTTGGGGAAAGCTGAACTGCCATGATGTTGGATCAAAGCTCCCTATACTCATCTACCTCACAGGATTATTGCATATAATAAATGGGAAAAAGATTTATACGGAAGGTCAGGTTATAAATGAAGCAAAAAAATGTTCTGAAGTATTTGATCCATTTTGCTCTGTAGGAAGAAAGCTTAATATCCTGTTTGACTCCCTGTTTTCCTACTGTTGAAGTTTAGTTTGTATGGTTTTTGAGACAGAAATCTGGGGGCTGTTTTGCCATTAAGCACCATTTAATGCTATCT